CATGTTATCCAGCCTGATCATTTTAAAAGATAAATCAAGCCATACCATTCTTCTACTCAAAACTCTCTAAAGACTCCTCATTTCCCTAGAGCAAAGGCCAACATCCTTACAATGGCCAGCACAGCCCTTGTGAGCGATCTGACCTCCTCTCCTGTAGTCCTCCTCCTCCTATTGACTCCACTCTGGGCACACAGGCTTCTCTGCTGTTCCCTGAACTCAGAAGCACACTCCTGCCCTCAGACTCCATGCTGAAAACGCCTCCTCCTCCCCAGATGTCTGCTAGCAGACACCCAAGACACGCTCAAATCTCACTTTCTCAACACAGCCTCTATGACCCGATACTCTGGATTCTGCTTTCTGATTTCCTGCTCATGTGCAAGTCCAGTGTAAATTGGCTGAGGGGCTCTGATCCATCTACCAGATACCCATCTAAGGACATCTGCCTCTACTTGTTTCTTTGGAGATCCTTCCATGTGGCCAGTGTCTACTGGGAGTGAGAAGGGTAAAGAGAAGATGAGAGGGACACATCTGCTTAAAACAGCCTTGACCCAGAAGTAACACAGATCACTTGCAAATAAATTCCGCTGGTGAGAACTAGTCATATGGCCCCATCGGGCTGCAAGGAGGATGGGCTATATCATCTAGGTGTAGGTCCAGGAAGAGAAAGAAAACATGGATATTGGTAAGTAATTCTAATCATGAAATACCTTTTTCCTCCTCTTTCTACACATAAAACACACTTAAATCTCTCGCAAGAGAAAACCTGAGGTCCCATTTAGTCAGTGCATCTAAAGACAAGTCCAGGGCCTCTGGGTACATCGAAGTCTTCTTTAACAAGACCATGTGTAGCTCTTTATGATGCAAACTAGGAACAAACAGGGCAAATTATCTGCACCCACCCTCCCCAGTTCCACTACACAATGAAGGAACACGAGCAGGAGGTTCTTCCTTATCCAATCTCCTCCTTGGCAAAGTGGGCTCTGGCATGCCCTCCCTAGGGGCTGTATAACCTTCATAACCCATCTCTTCCCAGAGCAAGGTCTGGATCCTTAAGAAGTAGGTTTACAGCTCAAATAGTCAAGGGCTTGTTACATGCAGGCTCATGGTTCCTTTGCCAATATACAATTTCCTCAAAAACTTAGTAGGCCTTTGATCTATTTGTTTCCAGTCAGTTCCAAGTGCCAGTAACCACACACAAAGTCCTTTCCTAGACATAATTCTCAAGCCTGATTTATGTCTTTGCCTCCATTCCTCTTGCTTTGAACTAATAGAGGCCACCTGGAGGCCATATGAAACAAAAGGTCAGCAGTTTCCAACTTTGGCTGCATGAGAGAATCACTTGGGGGAACTTTTAAAAACTGCCTTATCTAGGTTTCATATACCTTTGACCCATTAAATCAGAAGCTACATATGTGAGAACAAGGTGATTCTGAGGAACAGCCAAGAACGAGAACTCATGCCCTTATCTGATCTTCGACACAGGACTAAGCTACCTGTCTTCAACTGAGAAAGTTCCCTAGGCCTTTATTGCTCAAAGCCTTTCTCAACTCTTACCTATGGCGCTCCAGGGTCTATAAGCAATCTGTTTTTCCTGTCACTGCTCCAACTGTCAGAACTTTCTCTAGTTCCTTTCATTTTTTGCTTGAAAACTTGCTAATTCTTTCCTAAGCTCATCTCTTTCTCATCATACCTAAAAAAACAGCCAACACACACTCACACTCCAATCCTTTCCAACTTTTGACCTGGAGCTCAGGTGGCACGAAATGTGCCTTCTAAGTTATCATGGATGACAAATTAACCCAATTGGTCACCACTGCATAACACGAGTTTCTGTCCTTCCCAACTCCAATATGAGTGTCCTCATCAGAGCTATTTGACTGCTAAGTCAATGACACAGATTTTAAGGTTTTTTTTTAACAGGACTCTACTTCCAGTACCAACTACTATAGCAAAAACTAAAACCTCAGTAGCTTAACACAAAGTTTCTCTCTTGCTCCCATCAAAGTCAAGTAGGTTGGCAGAATACTCTTCTCCCACCCATCATTCAAGGACCTAGTTTCCTTTCATTTGTGGTTTTATCCTCCTATGGGTCCTAATGAAATTCTCCCCACTAAGCTGGCAGAGAGAACAGAAGAGGCACTCAGCTACTAACGGTCTTATTCCAGGAAGACATGTATCACTCCAATCACATTCCAGTGATAAGTGCTATTTACATGGTCCTTCTTAGATACGGGAAGGCTGAGAAATGTAGTCTAGATGTATGTTCGGCAAAAATAGGAAAACAGTGATGTCAATGAGCCCTAATGACCTCTTTTATACCCCTTAAAATTTAAGCCCCACAGGGCAGGAATCTGATTTGTTCATAGATGTACCCTACATGCCTGTAACAGTGCCTGGAACGACACAGTAGGAGCTCAAATAATATGAATGAATAATGAATGCACAAAATGAATCACAGATATGATACCACATGGCATTTTTTTCCTAAAATATTTTAAAGTCAAATGAATGATGACTAAAAGAATAAATGAATTACACTGCATAGTTACTTAGGTAAAACATTAAACAGAAACTTTTGGAAAAATCAAAGTAAACTTCCAAGCACCAATATAACACCTATCAAATCTACAATACAAATTCATATACAAACTTGTTAAATGCACACTAAATTTATCTCTTGTGAACACAGAAAAATATTCATTCAAATACTAGTATAAACACAGTGGGCAATCTTCAAAGAAATTACTATTAAAGTGATTTACACATCTTTTTGTTAGTGGAATCTTCTTTACCCACATCAGTCCCAAAATTCACTCACATCTTCCTCAAAGAACAAGGGCACTGCACATACAGTTCTAATCTTGAAAACAAGTTATACACACACACACACACACACACACACACACACACACACACTGCTAAAAAACCTTACCAGTATGCATCAGTCACACATAATGCATATACTCATCAAAATTCAGAACTGATACCAGCTTCATGCCTATAATACTTGATTTTTCTTGAAATCTCCAGTCACTATAACAACAATGAATGAAATAAAAACAACAACAACAACAACAAAGCTAAAATAAAAATAACAAATGGGAATATGGCTTACTTCACAAGAATGTTGTGAGGATCAAGCAAAAATACAAGAATTCATTTGTGATTTCTGCACCTTCATTTATGTGTTTTAACTCAATGCCAAAATTCAAGAGTATATGAAACGCTGCTTTGTAAATCATAAAGCAGTATTTAGCCACTTATCTTTAAAAAAATGTAAAATTCCCATTTCTTAAAAGGGCTACAAATTAGCTAAATGAGCAAGTTCAAACTATGACGAACAAGGTCCTCACTTCCCCTCAACATCTAGAATGAGAATTGTCAGAAGAAACATCCCAATGAATCCAATCATTTTAAGTGGTAACAGAGCAAAGAGTTATCTCAGTGTTGAGAGTTAGACTCTAAAAAACAATGGGAAAAACATTAACAAATCAATTAAGTGGGACACTTGCACTTTAAGAAAGGGAAAAGTAACAACTTGAAAATCTACAGATTATCTCTATTCAATGAAAAAGAAAAGAAACTACTACATTGTATTTTTTTTTTCCATTGCTTGTTTAAAAATTTTAAATAATCACTCCTCAACCAAAAAAGTACTGGAATTTACAACACAACAAAACCTAGGATAGGATGTTCAGTTTAACGAAATTTTATGGTTAAGTCTAACTGAAAACCTATCTGATTTAAAAAAAAAAATTATCTCTAACATGTCAGAGATGTAGGAAGTAAAGTGTACATGTGGGTTGAAATTTGGTGTTTTTTTTTTTTTAAACCAATCCCTGATATGAACTTACTTGCCTTTTTTCTTGATTGAGTTTTAAGAAGGCTAACTAGAAAAAAAGAAAGAAAGAAAAAAAACCCTGGTAATTGAAGCTTTCTAATACTTAAAGTCCAGTAGGATAACCAAGGGTAAGAACCTAAATCCTGAATTATATGTATGACCCTATATATTGTTCTACCCTTTAGCAAACCAACCGACCAACCAACGAAAACTAAAGGGAAAAGTTTTTAAAACGACTTTGGGTAAATAAACGGATGGCATTTTAAAAACTCTGAAAATAAACTGAGAAAAGGGAAGAAAAATGATTGATGCTAAGCTTGTTACGTGATTTATAAACACCGCAGGAAAATCACACGTCCTGCACCCAAATATTGTTATTTAAAGGACTACTTTTGAACGTACGGACATCAATGTGGCAACTGTAAGATACAATATTTCCCCAACCTCAGAGAGATGAAAATTTAACTCCTTTATTTCATGCAGCTTTCTGTGCAACATTTAAACCCTAGAGACATGAAACAAATATGCTTGAGAAAAAGAACTTTCAATCTTACTTAAAGCCCAGAGAGCAAGCTCTGGGGGGATACCCCGCCGCACAATTCTAAAAGAAGACGACTCTTCTCACTTTTCCACTTCAACTGTAATAATATCCCCATCTCCTGGAACTTTAAAAATTCTCCTTTTAAAATCAAGTGATGAAAATAAATAAAGAAACAAACAAACCAATAAAACCAGGTGAGAAGGCACAAGGTATTTGCCGCCGTCATGGCCGTCATGGCCGTCATGGCCGTCATGGCCGTCATGGCCGTCATGGCCGTCATGGCCGTCATGGCCGTCATGGCCGT